ATGATTTAAATTTCAACCGATCAAAATGTCAATGATTTAAATTTGAACACATCTATGCGTTTGACCAAATGTCTGGATGATTTAAAATTGAGCCAATAAAAAATTATTTAAACTAGTAATCAACCCGTGCATTTGCACGAAAGAGAATAATTAGAAGAGTTACGAATATAAAAAAAATACAAAATTATGATTAAATTAAAAAAAAATATGAATTAAGAAAATGATTCTAAATATTATTAAACACTTCTTTGTATACAACATTCAAGGTTTGCCAATCGTCAGAATCACCTTCACCGCATTTCATTATCTTCAAACCCTTCATATTTGTGACTCTACAAAGTGCCACGTATAACTATCCATGACTGAAAACAGGGTTCTTCAAGATTTAACCGACGTTTGAGAGAGACTGGTCCTGACTTTGTTGATTGTCATAGCATAGGACACCATGATTATGTGTTTGATAGCAGATTTTGAATTTTTAAGAGTATTATATGTTTTTGCAAAAAATTTTAAAAACAAAAAAGAATTATATTTCAGCTTTAGGAATAAAGTAAATTAGATTATGAAGAATTAATTCACACGTTTTTTATTCATTATTTAAGACATTAGAACAATTAAGAAAATAAATTAAATACATATAATGACATGATTTCTCTACCCACGTGTATATAAAATTAATTGTATGATTATAGCATGATGTTATAATAGTGTGATGTATATTACAAATTAGAGTAATTTTTTTTTCCCATTTTTTTTTGTTATTTGTTGCTTTTGTGTGATGATATCACATTTTATAATAATCGTTATTTAAAGTGATAGTATGACATTTAATAATAATAGCTAATATTTCCTTTGTTAATTTATTTACTGTTATTTTGCAGGTACAATAGCAACAATAAATTGGAGATTGATTTATTTCAATTTAAATATGTAATTTATAATTTGATTTATTTTTATTATTTACAACTAAAATGATTATATATCAATGCTTACATTTTTATGTCCAAAAATTCAAATAAAGTGCATGATTTGAGGTTGTAATTTAATTAAAAAATAGAAGATAACCTTTTCAATATAATAGGATATATGATTAAATGCCGAAAATTTTGGAGGGAAGTGAAATAATCTGTTTAAATGCATTGGAGGGAAGTGAAATAATATAATTAAATGCATTGGAGGGAAGTGAAATAATATAATTAAATGCTGAAAAATTGGAGGGAAAATATAATTAAATGCATTAGAATAAAATTAAATGTTGTTCTGCCAAATTATATATTTATAGATTTGAACACACCAGAAATTTTATGTACTTTTTATTTGTAAATATATTGAAAGTGGTATTTAATGGTTGTTATATAAACTATTTTAATATATTTGCAATGAATAAAAGTTTGAATGAATAAATTGTAATGTTATTCATAATGTTTGTGACTTATAAGACACAAACACATAACTCCATCCATATTTGCAAGAGAGCGGCTTAATAATTTTTTAGACTTAATGTTGATTAAAATAGATAGAAAATAGATAATAACATTATTACTTTTTGACTTAAACGGACAAGGCTGTGAAAATAACTCATTTAATATCTTTGTCCAGTGCATCGCACGGGGTACGATATTAGTACTATTTATGAAAATTGGTTATGTTTAATATCATTTTGAACCTTACAAACTATTTAAGACAAAATGTTTAATACCATAATTAATTAGAATTAATTAGCTGCTGCTGGCCGTGTTTAGAGGGGGTACATTACGGCCCAGTTTTAATGAATATTATATTATTTGATTATAAAGTATATAGCCATCTATAAATATATAATTTGGAGCATCACATCATTTAATTTTATTGTCATGCATTAAATTTTACTAGTACAGTTCCCGTACGATGCACGGGGGTTTATTATCCTCGTTCTTTTTAAAAAGCAATTTTCTGTTAAAAGTCAAAGTACTTACTAAAGGAAAGATCATGTCATTAATAATTAAAATTAATAAATATAATGAAAATTAAATCTATATATTATTGAACATTTCCTCATATACAAATCCTTATGAAACTCAACA